GACTGAATGAATACAAGTCTATGGGGCCGGATGGCGTGCATCCCAGGGTCCTGAAGGAGCTGGCTGAGGTGGTTGCCGAGCCGCTCTCCATCATATTTGAGAAGTCGTGGCTGTCAGGTGAGGTCCCGAACGACTGGAGGAAGGGTCATGTCACTCCCATATACAAGAAGGGGAGCAGGGAGGACCCGGGGAACTACAGGCCGGTGAGTCTCACCTCCGTGCCTGGGAAGATCATGGAACAGATCCTCCTGGACAACATGCTCGGTCACATAAAGAATGAGCATGTGATCCGAGACAGCCAGCACGGCTTCACCAAAGGAAGGTCATACCTAACTAATCTTGTGGCCTTCTATGATGGAGTGACGGCATTGGTGGACGAAGGGAAGGCGACCGATGTCATTTACCTGGACCTGAGCAAGGCCTTTGACATGGTCCCCCACCACATCCTCATCTCCAAATTGGAGGGAAGTGGATTTGATGGGTGGACGACCCGATGGATAAGCAATTGGTTGAAAGGCCGCAGACAGAGGGTGGTGGTCAATGGCTCTATGTCCAGGTGGAGGCCGGTAACAAGTGGTGTCCCCCAAGGGTCTGTCTTGGGACCGGTGCTCTTTAACATCTTTATTAATGACATCGATGAGGGAATTGAGTGCACCCTCAGCAAGTTTGCTGACGACACCAAGCTGAGTGGTGCGGTTGATACGGTGGAAGGAAGGGATGCCATTCAGAGGGACCTCGACAGGCTGGAGGGCTGGGCTCGGGTGAACCTGATGAGGTTCAACACGGCAAAGTGCAAGGTTTTGCATTTGGGCCGGAAGAACCCCAGGCACCTGTACAGGCTGAGAGGAGCGGTCCTTGAGAGCAGCTCGGCAGAGAAGGACCTGGGGGTCCTGATGGACGAGAGACTGAAGATGAGCCAGCAGTGCGCTCTGGCAGCTCGAAAGGCAAATGGGATCCTGGGCTCCATCAGGAGAGGGGTGGTCAGCAGGGACAGGGAGGTGATTGTCCCTCTCTACTCGGCTCTTGTGAGGCCCCATCTGGAATACTGTGTCCAGGTGTGGAGCCCTCAGTACAAGAAAGACATTGAGATTTTGGAAAGGGTCCAGAGGAGGGCGACTAAGATGATCAGGGGGCTGGAGGACCTCCCCTATGAGGACAGGCTGAGGGAGTTGGGCTTGTTCAGCCTGGAGAAGAGAAGGCTGGGGGGTGACCTCATTGCAGCCTATCAATACCTGAAGGGAACCTACACCCAGGAGGGGAGTAAACTCTTCAGAAGGGCTGACAACAGCAAGACTAGGGGAAATAGATCCAAGTTGAAGGAGGGAAGATTTAGGTTGGATGTTAGGGGGAAGTTCTTTACTAGGAGAGTGGTTAGGCCCTGGAACGGGCTGCCCAGGGAGGTTGTGGATGCCCCGTCCTTGGACGTGTTCAAGGCCAGGTTGGACGGGGTCCTGGGCAACCTGATCTGAATGTGTATGTTTGGTGGCCCTGCTAGGCAGGGGGGTTGGAACTACATGATCCTTGGGGTCCCTTCCAACCCGGGTGATTCTCTGATTCTGTGTGATTCTGTGTGATTTGAGTGCTTGAGACCACTTCAATGCCCATTTCCTGTGGAGTAGGACAAGCAGATACCTCTTACCTTCTTGCTCACTTTGCCTGCCTGGTTATATTGCTGAAACCAGCTGCATCATGACTTAGTTTAGCTCCTTTGCTTTTCTTTGGGCTGCCTCACTTGTAGCTTATAACAAGAGAGTAGCACTGTGTTCTGCTAACACAGCAGATCCTGATGAGATCTGCCAGGTGAGCTAACTGCAGGGATCTGGAGTAGGAGTGTAGTGGCTGATGCACAAATGCTTTTATCAACAGAAACTGTAGGATTTAATGTTATTTGGAAGATCTCTAGAGTGTTGTCCTCACATTGTTGTGGACTCTGCTGTTTTGGTCCAAGGAGAGGGAAGGTTTGAATGGGAGCTGAGGAGGGACAACTCTGCATCTCCACAGAGGCTCTTCTATGCTTGTGGTAAAGGATTCACAGCTGTGGACTATTTTAGTTTTGTTTTTTTGTGTTTTTTTTTTTTTTTTACTTCCTCTCATCTTTCTCACTGTAGGCTATACATTGAGAAACCCTCTGTTCCCCAGGAGAAGAGGATCACCCTGGCAGAGTATCTCCAGCAGCTCTCTCGGCATCGCAACTTCCTCTGGTTTGTCTGCATGAATCTAATCCAGGTAGGTGCAGCAGTGATGTGCTGGGATTCGGAGGATGAAGACTGGTTATGGCTGTTGGGTGATTCAAATGCATGCCAGCTTCCCGGGAAGGACGGGGAGTTTCTGATGTCTGCTCGCTTTCAGAATCTCCTGCCCTTGCACAGTGCAATCCATCAGCTACCTGGTAGCCATTATCTCTACTTGTTCAGGAACTGTCCTCAGGTCACATTTGTGTGGTGCTCCCTCCCCTGCAGTGCAGGCTCAGTTACAGGGGACTGGTTGAGCTCTGCACAGCCCATCTGGGATGCAGAAACACCAGGCCCGGCTTGTGATGGGAAGAGTTCAGACTACAGTTGGCTGGCTTGGCTTTCCTGAGGCTCATGTCGGTGTTCTCACTACATCCAGCTGGATCTACCTCCCATCTGGCTTTTGCAATTTCTGTTTTTCATTCTCTTCATCGATTACTACCAAATGCTGTCAGCCTGCCCAGCTTTCCTGAGCTTAATCTGCTGAACTCAGAGCTCCGTCTCCCCATGGGTAATCGGTTCCCCTCAGGCAAGCTCTTAATGCTGGTTTGCATCTTTGTGTTTGAGCCCCGTAGCCTTCTTATGGTCTCCCTCTTGGCTGCTGCTCCCACTTGCCGTGCCACTGCCTCCTCCTCCAGCAAGGTGGCCACTGTCGTCGCCTCCTTGCTGTTCCTTGCCCCAGCAGTGCTGTGTACTGCATGTGTGCTCTGTGAGCTTGCTAGTGAGGAATGCTTCAGCAGCTGGGATGTGGTATTGACCCCAGGCAGCCCTGTGGTCTCAAAGCCTACCATGCCATAACCTCCATAGCCAAGCTCTTGCTCTGCTGAAGTACTTGGGGCCCATTCTGCGTGATACTTTGGCATAAGGCTCATCTCTTAAGATGAGAGTCTAGGAGGCTGTTAGCTTTTTTTGTTCAATCTTACTACTGTTGCTGCTTATCAGTTTGTTTGTGCACTGCTTTCACAGGTTTTTCATTGCCACTTTAACAGCAACTTCTTCCCCCTGTTCCTGGAGCACCTGCTGTCAGACCAGATCTCTGTATCTACTGGATCCTTCCTCCTTGGTGAGTCTCAGAAGGGACTGGAGGGAACAGCTGAGTTAGGGTCTGGCCTGAGTCTGGATTGTCTCTTTGTAAAATTCAGCTGGGGAGAAGCGTGCTCACAAACAGGTATTTGGGCTGTAAGATTCACACATGCATACACCTCATAAGCTTCCTTGGCACTTTAGAGCCTTCTTTCCTAGGCACAATAAAACTAATGTGGAGTCTTTTTCTAGTGGTGGAGAGCGTGAGGTGCTGGATCCTGCCTGGACTCTGCAACTCCACATAGGTTTTGTTCTCAGTACGACATGTCTGCAGATACAGCTCAAAGATGAGCAGGGAGCAGATCTCCTAATTCAGTGCCTCTCTATGGCATATGGAGTGTGTCCAGGCTGCCTCAGGTCTGTGGCAGACATCCTGTAGGGCTATTGTCACCCTGGGAAGTTTTTGTGCGGGCCAGTTCTGGTCACACTGTCCAAGTCTCATTGCTGCTCCAAGACAGAATCCCAGCCCGTGTATGACACTGGGCAAAAACTCTTGCTTGAGTTCGGTGAAGAAGGCCTCCCTCTGTAGGAAGTGTACGTGCTGTGCCACAAAAACAATTGAATGCATCTGCTACCAGCACCCCTGCTTTCTGTGTGTGTGTGTGTGTGTGTGTGCGTGTGTGTAGGGGGGGTTGGTGGTGGTGGTTAGGTATTCTGCATCACCTGTCCTCCCATGTTGGCAAGCTTTGTCCTCTCTTGGTATGGGTCCTGGGGGGATAGTGGATATTAAAACTCTCTCAAGCTTCTGTGCTGCTGTCTCTATTCAAGTGTTTCCTACATTGCCCCCCATCTCAACAACCTCTACTTCCTGTCCCTCTGCCGCCGCTGGGGTGTTTATGCTGTAGTCCGAGGACTTTTCTTCCTGAAGCAGGCTCTCAGTGTTGTCATGCTCCTGGCAGGACCTGATCAGGTGTATCTGCTCTGCATCTTCATAGCAAGGTATGCACACAGCACTTGCTTCCCTTGCTCTCTGGCAGCTGGGAAGGGAAGTGACTTGTCCCCATTTCCCAGAGGGAAGAGTAATCAGGGTCACCGTGGCTTCCAGCTCTGGTGTCTCCCTCTAGCAGCTCCCAGCTCAGGATTAGTCAGTGCTGAATCTGCTGGCTGTGCAGGCAGCAGTGAGGGAGGCAGCAATGTTCGGGCTCTGCCGTGTGAGAGGACAAAGACTTGGCAGGGCTGGTGGCTGCCTGGTAGCAGCCCATGCCAGCTGCTGAGCTGAGCTCCTGTTTTTTTTTCTGCATCCTGCATGGAGTGATTGCCCTCAGGATGTGCTGCAGCTGCCTCTTAGTCCCAGCCCAGTGTCTCATCCCCAGGCCTCTCTGTATGGCAGGTCCAAGGCATCACTAGAAGGCACACAAGGCTGTTATTGCTAGAAGCGTTCCTCTCCAGTAACCAGGATTTCTGAAAGTGTTCTTTTAAGTGTTAGGGAACCTTTCTAATCTCTCTCTCCACTTTCTCTGATCTCCTACTTACTCCTCTAACTTGTTGGTGCCTCTCTATTCAGTGCTTTGCCTGTTGTCCTGCAGCAACCGGGTGCTCACAGAAGGGACCTGTAAGTTGCTCAACCTGGTGGTGACTGACTTGGTGGATGAGGATCTTGTACTGAACCGCAGAAAGCAGGCAGCTTCAGCACTGCTTTTTGGCATGGTTGCTCTGGTCACCAAGCCAGGACAGACCTTCGCCCCCCTGATAGGCACCTGGCTGCTCTCTGTGTACACAGGTAAGTGCCCTTGAGAAAGCATTGCGGTAGGAGAGGGCAGACTTGTGAGCTCAATGCCCTCCACAGTGTTTTCGGTGGATGCAGAGCTCTCTCACTTACGAGGCTGGGACTGGTCTCCGCATCTCCAAGCCCAGTCACTGGGAGAGAGGAGCATTCCCAGTGTCCCGTCTCAACAGACTGCTCTTCTACCCCAGGCTATGATATCTTCCAGCGTAACCCCTTGAGCAACGTGGTGAGCGCCCAGCCGAAGCTGGAATCCCATACAGTCTTGGAGCCAACTCTCCGCCAGGGCTGCTTTTATCTCCTCGTCTTTGTTCCCATCACATGTGCACTGCTGCAGCTCTTCAGTTGGTCTCAGTTCAGCTTGCATGGGAAGCGTCTGCAGATGGTAAAGGCTCAGCGCCAAGGCCGAGCACCAGAAATCAAAATGATCTAGGGGTGTTTGTGCTCCTGGCGGTGCTTCTGGTTCCAGGCTGGTGTGGGACTGCTGGCAAAGTGAAGGGATTGCTGGCTGGGAAAGCCCCCATGTTTACAATTTAACTGTGATGTGCTGTGATGCTGATGTTAACTCATCCCAGGAGGTGGCCACGGGGAAAGCAGAGGAGTGTTGAGCATGTACTGGGCTTGGGATAGGTCACTTGGCTACAGCAGTGAGAGCATTCCGGCCTTGCTGGTCCTAGAAAGCAGAATTCTAGGGCAGGGCTGCAGCACGTGCTAGAGAGGGTTGCATCCCTGGTGTGATATTCTAACCTGGGCATACCTCTGACCCACAGCCCCTCAGGCAGAGCAGAAAGGGGGGAGCAACTGGAAGCCTTTCCTGTAGAGCCCTGTAGTTTTTGGGAATGGAGGGAGAGGTTCTTCAGGGACCAGGTAACAAAGGAGGATTAACTTCAGAAGAAGAGGTGATATGGGAAGACCCTGAAGGCCCTTCTCAGTAGCTGGAAAGACCTCTCTCACATTCAGTGCCATGGTTCTTTGACCAAATCTGCTCTTAGGCTTGTTTCTGGGACAATATCTTGCACAGAACACAAGGCTCCCTCCTACAAGGCCTTGCACAGGGAGGTGCTGGGCTCAGAACCTGGATGTCTCATGGCATCTTGTTGCTGGTGTTCATCCTGTCCCTCCCTAGCCCCTTGCAGTCAGCACTATTACAGCAGTGCTTCCCATGTTAGCTGGTAGGTTCAGATCAGGGAAGGAGCCTGTAACACAGCAGACAAAACGCTTCCCCTCCCAAGGCTGACACTGCTGCCTGCGTGAAGCAGCTCAGTGCCTTCCCTTCTTGCAGGTGGAGATTAAGCCTGGAGACAGCAGGTCATGCTTTTGTGCCTTCTATTCCATTGAGAAGCCTGTTTGACCTAACACGGGGCAGTCACAGGGTTGAGATTTTACTTGTTGGGGAGAGAGACATCTTCTGTGCTTCAAAAAGCCCTGCTGATAAATTTTTCTGGTTGCTGAGTGATGGAGCCAAGGAGAGGGGAAAGTTTGGACTCCTTCTCTGTCTGGGAGCAGATGGGGCAGATGGTTACCCAGAGATCTCAAAATGAGGCAGTGTCTCCTCAGTCTTAGGGTTGCTGTGGGCAGGCAGAAGTGATGTGCTGAAGTAGAATGGGTAAGCACTCTGCCCCGTGCTTCCTGCAGGAGGTGGAGATAGGCTCACATTACTGCTGTTATCCATTCTGTCACCTCCCAGGCCTTCTGTACCAGGTTCCCTCTGCAAACGCAGCCCACAGATCTGCTGTCTTGCCTCAGGACATGGCTGCCTCCTGTCTTGGACCAAGACATTTCTCTTGTGAGGCTCCTGTTGGTCTTACTGGTTCAATCATAAGTTATTTGTGTAGATTTTAACAAAGTTTGAGAATGATTATTCATTTCATAAATTAAGTACGATTTTTTTTCGGTATTGCTGTGGTCTCATTTGAATTGGCAGCCACCCTATCTGGCCTGGTGTGGGCTCAGCTAACCACACAAGGCCCCAGGTGCAGTGTCCCTTGGTGGGGTGGGAGGGAAGTAGGAGCAATGGAGTTATTTCAGAATGCTGCTTGACCCATTTGCAGCTGGTAGACAGTCAGGAATGTGCTATCTAATAGTGTCAGTGTAAGTCTTAAGACAGCAATGCACGGCAGTTTTACTCTGGCCTTTGCCAGTCCATGGCTGAGGACCAGGTCTAATATGTTCCTGCTCAGTGACTTTCTAGCAGGTGGATCTGACATTTCTGGGTTCATGCAGTGGTAGAGGGGTGCAATCTATAGTGCGTGGGAGAAAATGAGATTAATCAAAGGAGTGGAGGGTGAAGTAGGCATCCCTTTCCAGTGAGACTGGGTGCTGGGGCTAAATCAGTTACTGCCTTTGGAGGAAGGTAAGTCACTTGTCCCTGCTGCTCTTGAAGACCCTGGGTGACAGAGGTTGGGGGGAGGTGCAGACCTGCACACTGAACCACATACCCATTCCCTCAGGCCTGTCCTGGGAGCAAAGCTTGCTGATGAGTTCTCAGCAAGCACATAGGTTAGCCACCTCTGTCCATGCCAGCAGCATCACTCCTGTTGACCTGTGCTCACTAAGGGCAGCCCTCCCTACTCTCTCGCAGTTTCTCTACCCTTCAACTGTTCTGTACCTGTCTGCAGTGACAAAGACTTTGAGAATAATGGTCGTTAAGGAGAGCAGCTTTGGACCCTAAGAGGGAGACCAGTTACAGGCCAGGAATGTGCCACCTCAGCACAACAGACTGATCAGGAAGGCAGTTTTGGACCATAGGTGTATTTTCATGGAGGGATTAGGCAGCAAGTTCTGTACAGGCAAGAGAAATACACACTGTTACCTCATTAAAAATGCAAATGGAGGAAGATGAGGCCAGGAGGCTTGAGGTTTGTATATGAATGACTTTATTTAAGTATGCTGGGCACCACCAGGCAACATGGTTTGGACAGTGTGCGAGGGAACAGTCAGGCAGATCAAATGAACGCTAGATTGGAGACGGCACCTTTCTGTCCGGTCACTGCAGTTTACAGAATGGAGCACTGCTGCTTCTGCAAGGCCAGCAGAGGAGCTGGGGAGGGGGAAGAAGAGATCACTGGCACTGCCTGGGGCATGTGATAGTGAATAGAGAGCATTTTTTTCTCTCTGCATGCTGCAGCTTATCAGCAAGACTGCCACGATCTTCTGTCGGAACAAGACTGAGCATTGACAGCTCTTCTCTATCTGACTTGTTCTTACTTAAATACAATCTGTTCTGACAGGAGTAGGAGAGCGAGCAGTGTGGCCTCAGCTGGGAACAGACCACCAAATCTGCCTACCTCCCTCCAACTTCTCCAAGCCCAGCAGTGAGCCCTGAGAATGTGCTTCCAGCTGGAGCAGCACGCTACCTGCTTACATTCATGTCTGATGGGGCAGTGCACAGGCTTCTGCCAGGCCTCTGGAGCAGGGCTGCTGCAGCCTTCCAGCTCTTTCCCTGTCTTGGCTCTGGAGAGCGACCCCAGGGTGATGTGTGGAAATGAAGAGAAAGGAGGGGAACACAGAGGAACTGCCACCAAGCAACTCCAGGCCCACTGCTAACGCCAGGTACTGCAGAAAATCAGTGGTGAAGCAAATGAGCACCAAGTAATGCATAAGAACACTCACGACTAACAGTGCCGCAACCCAACACAAGCTGCTCTGGAGGCCTTCCAATCTCTGTAGAAACAGCAGCTACAGAAGAGCAGCCAGTAGATGAGCAGAAAGGCATAAGCAGCTCAGTGGGACAGCAGAACACAGCCCCTGCAACAGCTTGCTGCTCACAACCCTGCTGCTCACATCACTGTACACATACTGGTACAAGTTATTGTCCTCTCATGTAGTGTACTCATAGAGAACAGCAAAACTTCCTAAAAAAAAGTTATTGAGTGCTGTAGCAGGGCTGACTAGTTATTATGCTAAGCATGTGTGCTGTAAACAGTGTTAACATAAAACAATGGAGAGCTGGATAGCAGGTATTCAAAGAAGACCCAAAGAACAAGTCCCAGGTGCTATGGTCAGTATTTGAGATATCCTCAGAGATATCCTCAATAAATAAAACAATTCTTATATTACAATGCACCTTTCCAACTATTATTTTGCCCCCAAATGGATGAAGTACACGAGTTATGCCTGGCTGAAAATACATGATTCCGTTGCCCGGATGTGGCAGAGGAGGAGGGAAGCAGCCGCAACTCCTGCAGAGAAAGAGCATGAAAGCTGTAAGTCTTGGCAGGTTGAGGGAGGACACTCAGGTGCCTTCACTCCCACTCTGGGGCACTTGCTTCCAGAGGAGAAAAGGTATTTAAAAGAAGGAACAAGAGAATAATGTACCTTCTACAGGTACATTGCCCAGAAGAGACAGGCCAAAACGGGCGTACCTACTTTGGTAAATTTAAAAGGAGAACTGGCTTCAACAGATGAAGAGAAAGCTGAGGTGCTGAATGAGTTCTTCACCTCGGTCTTCACTGGTGGCCAGGATTCTGGTCTTTTTCACGTTCCTGAACCCTGCATCCCCAAACCTCTATGTGGGGACCAAGGAGGTAAATCCCTCCCCACTGTAAGGGCAGAGCAAGTCCGAGAGTGCCTCCTTAGACTGAATGAATACAAGTCTATGGGGCCGGATGGCGTGCATCCCAGGGTCCTGAAGGAGCTGGCTGAGGTGGTTGCCGAGCCGCTCTCCATCATATTTGAGAAGTCGTGGCTGTCAGGTGAGGTCCCGAACGACTGGAGGAAGGGTCATGTCACTCCCATATACAAGAAGGGGAGCAGGGAGGACCCGGGGAACTACAGGCCGGTGAGTCTCACCTCCGTGCCTGGGAAGATCATGGAACAGATCCTCCTGGACAACATGCTCGGTCACATAAAGAATGAGCATGTGATCCGAGACAGCCAGCACGGCTTCACCAAAGGAAGGTCAT